CAAGGAAAAAAGTTCCCATGTGCAACTAGTTATATATGCTTAATAATTTGCCCTTATTAAAGATAAAAAAGGATCAGAATTATAGGCTTAGCAAGGATTAGCAAGCATAAGTCTGTATTTCTGCAACTACTACACTTTTTATAGCCCTGTCACACTCCGAGATAGAGTTGTATCATTATATAGAGTTATATAACCATAAGGAGTTATATCACTGGAAGCATTACAGCATTGTCCCAGACAGTCTTGATTATCAAAGTCTGGCTCTACCAAGTGAAAAAGAAAAAAAAAAGAAAAAGAAAAGGCAACTTCAGGGTCCTGCTGTGCCATCTCCTGATCCCATCTGTTAACAGCACACAGTCTTGAGTTGTAGGGGCCTCATGGACACAACTTCACATCCTAATTCAACATCCATTAATATTCACCAGAACCTCCCAATCACTCCAGAGGTATCAAGCCTGATATTTCACTCAAAAGAGACTTATAGTGAAAATCCTAGACAAAAAAAAAAAAAATCCAAGTTTACCTAGAGGCCACATATTTTCTTCACTGACAATAACAAAGGGAATAAAAACACTGCACAACTAGGTGAAACTCCACTAATAGCCAAAAAAATGCTGGTTTTTTTTTTCTATCCTTAAACTTTCTGTTCAATATAATCTACAGCACTCCTGGTTTCAAATGGTGTTAACATTTTAAGTGGCCCCATCCACTCTTCTAATAGTTAGAGCCCAGAAAAATGGCTTCATTTTTTTCTGACAAATAAACATAAGACTATTACCACTGTGTGTCTTTGCAAGAATTGAAAGTCTTCAGATGTTTTTAAAAGGCCATTGGGTAAAGACAGAATAAAAGCTCAGCAAGCTGATAAAAGCATCCAACTGTGACCTGACAACGGTACAAACATTAATAAAAAAGAATTCTTTGGGTTTTATTCTCTTGAAGAAAATACATAATACAATCTTTCATATGCTTGTAATGGCCTGCCACCTCTTCTGTGTAAGGCACTGAGGCAGGATGCCTGGGGATCTGGCCCTCTGCCTCCACAGGTAGGACCTCCTGCTTGGTATTGAATCCAGATCAGACAAATATTCATAGTACCAAAGAGGAGTAGGAGGAGGAAAGAAAGAGAGACCAGGAAAACACAGCACAGCTCCTTCACCAGGAAATAAGCCACTGTCCCAGTGACCACTGAGTGTCGTCATCTGCCCCATCACTAATTCTTACACCTCTTTTCCACCCTGGCACCATCCACAGCTCATCCAGCCATTGACTCAGCAGCTGGGGCACTATAAACCATAAACCATAAACCAAGTCAATGGAGGGAGTTCTCTCCACCCTCCAGACCTGCACAGCTGCCAGTGGCACCTTCACCCAGGAGTGAACACATCAGCCAGGCAGCTGATCTGTCCCTCCTTTATCAGCTTTGCTGCTTCTTCCTGTGTTGCTGGGGGCTTTTGACAATTTTGACTGGCTAGACACTTTTTAAAGCAATTTTCCATTTACAAGGATACAGCAGTACTTTTTGGTCGCTGCTGCATTGCCATACATCACAGGTCTCCCACACATCGCCCAGCAATAATAGACAGGAGCATGAGTAACACGAAAACAAGTCAGTCCAATCTTTAGTGTCAACTGCCTGTAGCCTCTCAGAAAACAAGGGGTTTGATCTCTGTCATTGTGTTTTATGAGAGGAAGGTAGCTTTTAAATATCCCTTTTCTCCAGCCTTGCTTGCAGTCCACTAAGTTTCAACAGCTTTCTGGTCTGCAGCAAATTCACAGTCTCCTGGGTGACCTGGGAAAATTTTTCATTACTTTTACTCCCTCCGGCAAGCAAAGCCCCGTCCTCCTCCTCCTCCTCCTGCTTTCAGCATTAACACAGCAAATGGTGAGCACACAGGTAAGCAGAGACACACACCATCTGTCTCAGTGCCCCAGACCTCTCTAACTCCCTTTGCTCGCACGGGGCTTGTCCCCGTGATGTCAACTGCGTTTTTTGTAGACCCTTGAAACAAACACGTTTCTAAGCCCATATCACCAAAAAAAAAAAAAAAAAAAACCAACACCCCACTTCACCCTTGCAATTTGCTTTGTAGTAAGACAACTATTTCATTTGTCTGTCCTGTTTTCACAAATCTGACAAGCTCCTCAACACTTCTGAGAGATCTGCATCCTCAGCATCACTCCCTGTCCCCCGAAACTGCTGTTTCCTTGTAAGATCTGCATGAGATGCCAACCACACTGCAGCCCCTGCAAGCAGATTTGGCAGAGCCAACCATATATTTCCAGGAGTCAGGACATACAGACACTCTGCAGTGTAGATACATCCATTGGTATGATTTAAATACCTCATAGGAGTGTGATATACTGAAACTTCACAACAAAGCAACACACCTTTGAACAGTGCAAAATGTATTGGTACAGAGAGATTATTGCATAATGGCATCAATATTTTATTTCTGTTGAATTTTTTATCTCAAATTTACTGCTCCCATAAGTAATACACAATAACTCATCTGCACCATAGTTACTTATGTATTATGTATTGCGTGGTCCTGGAAGAATTTCTGAAGAAATATCCTTCTTTTAAAAAGGAAAAAAAAAATAGCCCCTTCAATGACAAATCCCAGCACTCAGCAGCAGTATTTTACTGAAATGCTTTTTTACAAAACTTTAGAAATTCTCCACTAAATTGTAACGTATATGTTTACCATTCTCATAATTCAAAAAGAAAGTGGCCTGGCAGCTTCTAAGCACACTGTAATGTTATCTGCAGGGACAGTGAATTATGTATCTCTCATAGCACCATGTCTGACACAAAAACACTGTGATTCCAGTGCCGTGGGATCCCGCAGATCCACACAGTTGAGACACAAAGGGTAACGCAACAGTGCTGTTTTCCCACCCTTGTAGTAAAATGGTGCAAATATTTGAATATGATTTTCTTATATCAAGAAAAGACAACCTTTAATTTATGCAAAAGCAGAAAAAAATCGGGTCAGTGGTTTGTAATTATGAGGTTTGTTGGAAGTACTGATCAATGCTAATCAATGCTAATCAATGCACCCTGAGCAGATTCTTAAGGGTCCAACCATATGCCTTGAAGGCACTTGGGAGATGTGGTTGTACTGCCTCTGGGATGCTCTGTTTGGCTTTTTGGTTTTTTTTAGACTATGACTTCGACAAAAGTAAGGGCTCTCTAAACATACAGCCAAACTTCTCTGGCTGCCTGTGACAATATTTTGTGATGTTCATCATTAATACCTGACATTTTAACTAATGGTGCCCTTCACTGCAGAACAGCAGTACACAAGTTATGCATTTCACTGCTTTTGCTCTTTCCCACAGGAACATACATAGTTCCTACACTGGATGCCACGGGGATTCTGCTCCTCCTCAGCCACAAGATGGGGAGGGGGAGAGCTCAGCTCCTGGAGCACATCCCTGCCTCCCCAGGGAAGGTAGCAGAGTATGAATCTCCCAGGGCTGAGAATCCAAAGGAGGCAACATTCATCATTTCTGCATTTGAGAGCCACCTTCAATGTGTTTTCTCTGTCCTGTCGTAGTCAAACTCTCCTCAGTGCAACTATGTACTGGGGGAAGTGGGGCAGAGCCAGGGAATGCAGGGGTTTGGGGAATGGTTCCATGTGAGAAACATCTTGGTTTCCCCAGAAAGCATCAAATAGGAAAACCTACAAGAGAATTGTTGTAAAGACTGGCTTTTTCCTTGATGAAACACTGTGTATTACACACATTGCAGCAAGGAGACAGTCCCATGGCTTCAGATCTCTACTATTAAAGTCCTTTCAATTAACTGGCATTTATCAAAAAAAATTCAAACTAATTCCAGGCAGAAAAATTCCACATTATGGAGCTGAAAGTAAAATAAAGAACATTTGCAGGTTGCTAACTAAATTGTAGGGGCAGTAAAGCTTACAATATTTGAGGATGTATTCCTACATCAGGATCTTACAATTTAATGAATAATACTCTCTCTAGACAAAAAAAAAATGTCATATTTGGTGTTAGCTCAAAGAGGGGCCTTTCGTTTCATGTCTGGCTTTATAAATTGACTTTTCAGTTATCCAAACACATATAATAAGTACTATCTAGATAATAAGAAATTAATTTAAATGCTGTTTGCATTCAAATGACACCAATTTTATTCTAAAGAAGACATCTTAGAGCACACACAGCTCAGAGTGAGATATCAAGCCTTCTTCAAGCGTGAAGAGAAAAACACAGTCAGGAATTAATCATCAGGAGGCAACTTCCAAGAGAAGATAGGATGTGGATAATGTCCTTCTTTATGGAGGTGTGCATTATTTTACTCAAAGCAATACACATGTAAACCTGACACAGGACACGTGTCTTGTAACTAAAGGAGAGGATGCTGCCAGATCCTCCACACCTTTCCCACTAGTTCCCTCCTTCTGTGAGGCTGCAGGTCTGGCCATGGGCTGTTGGGTGACGAGAGCATTTCAACAAACATCATCCCCAGCAGCTGATAAGTAACAAGCACAATGCCCACTGTTATTCCTGAACAGTAATAGAGGACTCAAACAGGTTGTTTCCTTTGCATTTCACCTCCAAGAGTGAGAAAGGAAGGAAACGTCTCATCACGAGGAGCTGAAATTATTTTTTTTCCTGAAAAGAAGATATCAGTCCTGTAACAGAAAGGTCTCCCAAAACAACACAGCATTCAAATGACTCAAAACCATGCAATTTTTAGCAAGTGCCAGCTGTAGTGATGAAATAATGAAATTACAAAGAGAAAAGAAGGCTTGTGACTCTGGAAAAACGTTGGCAGGGAATTTCCACTTACGGTGATTTATCTTTTTTATTTTAAACAATTTAGGAGAGTGACATTGAAACTCTGACAGGTCACAAAATATTTCCTCAATTCAAGACACAGATCACAGACATGGCATATCCCTGTGACAGGTCCAAGCTCAAGCATGCACTTTTATAATTTAAAAAATAATAATGTATTTCATATTTACCTTTTGTTGAATCATCTTCAATTGGTTGTTTGAATAAAGTGATATCCTTAAAAGTACACAAGAACAAAACCACTTTTTCATGCTCATTTCTTATAGGTGCAATTTGCATGTAGAACCAAACTGGGGTTCCTGAAGCAAAGAAAAAAGTGACATTGGAATGTGGTGTAGCACAAACTTTCCCCAGCCCATACACAGAATACTTCATCATTTACATGCTATTGTAATACACATGTAGTTAAGGACCATATGTCAATATTTCTGCATCTTCCAGAGCTTTCAATTTTACTTCCTCAAAGGAAAACAACATATTCCCATTTTCACAGCCGCATTAATCTAACCAGAAGATAAGCAGAGATAACAGGACTTATAAATCTCCATTTTAAAATAAAATATATTATTCTTCCCCTCTTGCTCTTGCTTTTTCCCAGCATGTCTCACCAGCTTTGTGTCTGCAAGGTAAAAAGGCAAGAAAAAACAGGTGAATGGTATCTTTGATTCCTTCTTCATATATTATGGAGCTATCAAATCCAAAATAATGGACTATACTGTGAAATGCTCCAAATTTTATGTTACTACAATATTTGAGAAGAGCTGAGTTGGACTCTAAATGTCATACCAAGACAAACCAGAAGACTTGATTTCTTTTTTGCATTTCATGTCATACCTCCACCTCCTCATTGCCCTGCCCAGTGCAGCACTCTTCCACCACGGTTATCTCTACTCAGTTTTTTAAATAAAACCAAGTATTTTTCAAATCCTACCACTCAATCAAATAAAGATCCAAAATAAAGCCCTCAGAGTTGGAGTGGTTAGCATGGCTTTTGGTAAATCCTCACTGTCTGTACAAGGCTCCTGCAGGTGCTCAGGAGCTGAAACTGGTGCTCCAGGCTGAAACACACATGGCAGCCCCCTGTGTACATGCAGGTCTGCTCCATAAGGGGTAAAATCCTAGAACACTTTAAGCAATTTTCTCAGAAACACCTTGTTCACCTGCAGGGATGTAAATGTCAGATGTTCTCCATCCAGCAAAGCTCCGTGTCCCCTCCCTCCCAAACGCACACCTACACACGCTGCACTGTAAATGCCTTCACAGCCAGCTAATTACCTTTGGGATTTGATGTGCTTTCAGCCAGTTGACAGAATGGCTTTTCTCCTGAGCTGCCTAAGTGCTGACACATTGAGACAAGCTGCTTGCCCACTGTTATCCCACACAGGCACCACTGGCCCCCCCAAATCCCCTCTAATGCACCATGTCCGGGAGCTGTGCCAGGAACTGCAGGATAGATCCCAGAGGGCAATGAAAACCATTTGGGCTAGGACTACTGTGGGGAAGGTTAAAATCCACAAGGGTTCATTGAAATTCAACTGGGATTAAACCAGTAACTTACTACCAGTAAACTGGATGATGGAGAGATGTGGGACTGCTTTTTGTTGTAATTCCAAAGCCATTATGCTGATTACTTGATTACCTTAATTCCCAGTTGCTAACCTGAGATAAAAGACTTTTTATAACTACTAAAACAGAGTGCTGCAGCTCTCTGGAGAAATACTTTACTTGCACTCATACCTGGGAACCCATAGGCATCTTTTGAAAAGCTCTGAAAGCAAGGAGGCAAAATACCCTGCCACCAGTGCTGACAAAAATCAAAGACAGAGGCAAGGCGGCTACTGCTGCAGAAGCAGCAAAATGAGAAAAAGAAGGTAAAGAGTTTTCCTGAGTATTACCATATAAATACATACACATTAGAGAGAGAGCATATATATACATATGCGTGCTTAACAGGGTTGCTGAATAGTTGTGTGGGTAGAGGTATATAGGGTATATTCCCTATATATGAGGGAATGCAGCAAAGCAGAAGAAAGTTGTAGCAAGCTTTCAGGTCTGAACCTGAAACCTGCAGGCTGGGTTAAAACACCAAGGGAGTGTGTAAAGTCAGTAGTCGTAAGGATGCTGCTGGAGAACATCGGCTGGAGAACATGGGACAGCAACCTGAAAACCTCAAAATCTCCCTCTGCCAAAAGCATAAAGGAATAGGTAAGGAAAAAAAGGTTGTGCCACATTATCAAAAGTACGCAGCACCGCTGGACCTACGGTTTGAAAGTGTGGATGGGAGGGTGCTCTGAAAGCACTGCAATCTCCATGTAGGTGATAAACACAAGCCCTCACACAGAGTACCTGTCTACACTGTGCAGAAGTACATTCATACCATACATTTTGTTATCTGCTCCAATATTCATCCTGGAGGATAAGCAGGCGGTTTCTTGAAGGACCTTCTTCCGCCAGGCTCCGATTATGATAAATGGAAGCAAACCCTGAGCACACCAGCTGCTGAACCAGAGCCAAAAGGTGAGTCTATTAGCATTAGTGAGAGGTTGAAGTTCTGTGCTTCGGGTGATGGAGAAGAAAGCTGACAACAGATGTTATGGATGGGAACTGACTCAAGCCTGAAAAGAAATATTGAGTACTTTTCCACAAAGTCCTTCTGTAATCCTGCATAACTTATGGAAAGTGTAGGCTTGGAGATCTGGGCAAAGGTGAAGATTTTATTATGGCAACTGCAGGTCAATAAATCTCTGAAGCATCAACGAGCTCCAGCAGACAATTCACAATGCAAAGCAAAAAGCATCTGGCTTGTTACAGGACAGTAACCAAGAGAAGGCTTTTCTCATTTCATACTTAAATAAAATAGAAAGGAATTTACTTTTGGAATGGCCCATCCTAGAGCAAGATTCTCTTTAGTAAGAGAAGCCAGGGTTTGGGACAGCACAGGATCTCTGGGATCCCCTTTGGAAATCACACAAACACAAGACATGGCAGTGCTGGGCAGCACCATGAGCAAAGACACCCAACACGAGTCTGTTCCAGGAAATTCCCCTGTTGTGAAGGGACATCCAGGTGAGCCGCACAGGAAACGGGCAGAGAGGCAGAAAATCTGTAGAACAGATACATCCATATGCTTAGGAAACAAAGAGGTCATTTGGAGGGCTCTCCTGGACACCTGCAGGAACAGCTGGACTTCAGAGCCGCTCTTGCTTCTCTTTTTAATTAAGGTGTTGACTAAAATGCCTTGCAGTAGGCAGAATTGGAGAACTCTAATGACATTTCCTGCTGCTTAAGTACACATAGAGGAAGACTTAGTCTAAAAAAGGAAAACAGAGGTAAAGCATAAGAGGAGGTATCCAGGATGCTCTGTTCAATGTCATGAAAGGTTTATGTGAGTTTGCAGTGAAATGGGGCAGTCAGGCACAGTTAGCTCTTTCCTGAGGCACCATTCCCTACCCTCAGACACAGTATGCAAGAAAAAGCTCCAGCATAAGCTTGGCAAGGTGCTCCCTGCCAGCACCAAGGCCCATCCAGGGGGAAGCACAGCCTCAGGTACTGGGCTCCAGGCAGGTGAACGGGGGAGGAAGCTCCCCAGCCCCACAGTAACTGCACCCTGTGCAGGGCAATGAAAGCCAAACTGAAGAAAACATCTCCATCAGGATTGTTCTTGGCTTGTTCTTGACACAGCCACTAACCCAATCAACTAGGCTCTTTCTGCTCAGGGTAGAGTAACCTGCTTTTCTGGAGCATGTTTCATCTGACAGTTCTGGCTTTCTATCTTGGGAGGGTGGTCTGTGCTAGTGGAGGAGGCTGTTCATTTACACTGACAACAGCAGGAATCACAACCATCAGCTCAGGAAAGATGTCCACACTGCACAAGTCCAGTGTGAGACCACACAACAGCGTGGGTTTTGCTCAGTATGTGCTATGAAGTTGATAAGCCAGAAGCAGTACAGCCCACACGAGAGGCAGAACAGAAATGTGACTGGAGCGGCTCATGGATAAGACAAAATGAAAAAAGTCTTCTCTGGTTCTGGCAACTTCCTGCAAACCCAATGCCACCAAGAGGAAGGGAGCCAGCTCCTGCATCTAATTAAGTTACAAATTCCCTGGTTTTCTAACTAATCCCTGGGCTACGTGCCAAATTTAGTACTCTCACCAGAGCTCATATGTGTTGGTTTACACACCACAGAGGCATCCTGACACTGCTGGGAGCAGCCACTCGCAGCAAACAGGGTCTGGGTTCTCACTTGTGGAGACATGGGGGAGTCTTCTAAGGGATGTGGGGGAATCTCATTCAGGATTTCTTTTCGCTCAACCCAGTCAGTTTCCCTTCAGGGAAACAATCTTCAAAACTAAATATATTTCGGAAAGAAGGAGTCAGACTTGAGACAGCACGGAACAACTACTATTCCTGGCAATCTGAATGCTTGTCCTGAAAAGAGAGCTCTCTTTTTGAGCTGTGGCAACCAAAACACCTGTTTCTTCTCTAAATCTTGCCCCAACTTGCCCATACGTGAAAATGAAAATTTATTTTAGTCTGTTATATACTTTAAATATGCCTTGTCACTCCCAGTACCATACACAAATATATACATACTGTTTTTCTTGTAGAGGAGAATTTCAAAGCAGTTTGACTCATAGTTGTCGAAAGTCTGTCTGACTTTTTCAATGGTCTTCTTGTCTGTCAGTTCACCATACATAAAACTGAAAAAGAAATAAGGTTTCTCTTTTTTTCTAGACAAACAATTTTGTTACAGTCACCTTAAACAGCCTAGGCATTCGAGACGCTGTGAACTGCCATTTACCAAGGTTTAATTATGATTTACACTTCATTTAAATATTTAGAGTGTCACAAGGACACCAACAATAGTGAGTAACCATGACCACCTTCTTACTGTAAATGACTGCAAATAAATCCACCGTAATGCTTCATTAAGTGCTTTTTCTGAGCATATCTTTAAGGGTATATGGTTATATATCCTTATAGAAAAATAGCTGACAGCTTATGAAACCATTATCTCCACAGCTGCAGGCCACGGCAGGATTGCTGTCAAAACAGAGAAAATGGAACAAAACCTCTAAAACCTCCCAAATTTTGTTCAATCCTCTTGAAAAACCTTCTGGAGGAGGAATGCAAGCTATTACAGGTAAAGGCTGTTGGCTGAACTGACGGTAACAAATCTAATCTTCTCAAGATGCATCTGGGATAATAAGATAATCAGAATTCTTTTACTAAATACCCATTATAAATAGCGGTAGGATTTAAACAGTGAGGAACAATGACTGTAACGTTCTGAAAATTCAGTACGGGTAGCAAGCGTATGAGTTGCCTCATACAATACACATACAATGTGTAGCTGTGCCTGCACTACTACCAAACAACCAAATTTGTCCTCATTTTCCTTACTGCATACTGAATTTCTTTAATAGTTTAGTGGAAAATATTAAAAAGCTTTCAGAGATGCATCCCTCTCCAGGTTGATAATATAAAAATGTAATTTTAACTCTGCTATTTCTTGTCACTTGACCATCTCATCTTTGCATTCTTTTCCAGGTCAGACTTCCAGCTGGTGTAAGCAAACCCAACCCCCTGACCTAACTTTTGAAAGCCTTTGTAAGGAAACAGCCAGGCTTTTATTGTCATTCTTTCCTGGATTAAAAATAAGCGAAGGCGGCTCTGTGCAAATGCCCAATTACAGAACTGAAGTAAAATGGAACATGGGATAAAAGCTTTCAGGCACTTGGATGAATATACTTTTAATTGATCAGACTTTTTTTTTTCCCCATTCTCTTTGTTCACAAATAGTTTGGGCTTCAGCTGAAACCTACAAGAGACAACCCTGAGAATATGAAAGAGAAAAGCTATCAGTGCCTCTGTGGTTTCAATGCAGCTTCTCCTATTGATCAACAGACCTCCAAAGGTTCAATAAACATTTATTTTATGTCCACTGCTCTGAAAGAAACAATAAAACAGCATAGTGCTTACTGGTTCAGCAAGCATTAAAGTACTCAATGAAGGCCAGACCATGAATCTTTTCTTTGCACAGCCAACCAAGGGAGGCAGTGAGGCTGTTCCCAGGACAAGGTGCTGCCTGACATGGGTGATGGAGGCAGACACAAGGCATGGGAATGAATACAACATCTGGATATTACTACAGGTGCCTTTTCGCTGGTAACACAGGGACTTCTATTGATTAGACTGGTTATTAGGAAAGATTTCCTCACTGAAAGGGTGGTCAGGCATTGGAATAGGCTGCCCAGGGATGTGGTGGAATAAGCGCCCCTGAAAGTGTTCAAAAAACACAAAGATATGGCACTTGGGAGCGTGGTTTAGTGGTGAAGATGATAGTATTGGTCTAACAGTTGATTCGATGATCTTAGAGGTCTTTTCCAACCTCAATGGCTCTATGATTCTATGAATGGTGTGGCATAACTGTTACCTTTGGGACAGCACTGCAGTGGAGATCCCACTACAATGCCTGACATCAGGAAATGGTTTTCTCCAGTCACAAGACTTCATTAATGAACTGATTATCATTAACATACACAGTTGTCTCAAGGAGATGCAAAACACAGCTTACTGCTCATTTTCAAATGACCTGCCTTTCTTTCCCAATTTCAGTTGACAATCTTTTATACATCTATACATGAGATGACAACAAAAAGAGTTTGATATTTCTTTTTTAATCTGTGCCTTTTTTAATGCACTGATGCATCTCTTTTTTGTGTTCTTGAGACTTAAAAACAATGTTTCACATAGTCCTGGAGGAAAAAATAGCAAGAATTTCTTGCAGTGCTTGATTTTACATGACTTATAATACAGAAAGTCATCATTAATTAGTGTTAAAATGACAAATCCTACTTGACGTAGAGAGGTGGACGATACCAGTTACTGCTGCTGAACATGATCAATCAACTTTATGTTTTAAATTAAAGGCAGCTTATGGTTGCAGTAAACCTGTAATACCCAAATCATATATTATACTCACATATAAAGAGACATTTTAAAGGCTTCTGGAACAATAAAAACATTTTTCAGAAGGCAATTTTTAACAGCACAAAAGGAATCTCAGAGCCTTTCACTGTACGAGTTATATAAGATCTCTGCTTATCACAGGTTTAATTTAATTTAGTCTGTCCTATTTTGTACACATGGAGGGACTCCTACTTCTCTAGTCAATCACTCTGTCTTTTTCTGCCTCATGTTTTTTTCTGTTATTTAGTGCTTGTCGAGTGCCTTGAGTGCAAACTGTACAAGACATAAATATCAAACCCACTCTGCTACTGGGAATCTCACTACGTAGAAAACAGGGTTATCAAAGAGAAGCAAGACTTACTGAAATACTCAGAGAAAGACACAATGTTAGATATTTTTCCCATCTTTAAAGTAGAACAGTTGTCATTTAAGATGCTTAGGCTCCCACCTCCCTCTGAAAGCATGCCTTGAACAGAAAAGCCTCATCCAAAGCTTCATTTAGTGCTCCTCTGTCCTTTGTCAGGATCCAGAGCACGGGCACCAGAGTAGGTCCAGGTTTGCAGCGCGTGCCAAGGCAGCAACAGCTGTTTGAGAGGAATTATCCAGGACAGGTGAAGCACAGAAGGTATCCAATCCTACCCGATTTACAGCGTTCAAGGCATCGATTGCAACAGACAAACATCTACCCAGGAGGTACAGCAAATACACCTCAATAGCTTCAAAAGCCTGCAAGGTGAAGAGCACACATCATTTCTGAGAAGAAACAGTGCAGCTCCCTGGGTCCCACTGGCACACTCAGCAGGGTTTCTTTGCAACAGCTTTGGCAGTAAGGAGGCCTTCTCACACACACAAAAATCAGGTCACGGTGGTGCCATCTCAGTATCAAATCTAGCTTTTTTCAAGCCCACCACACTGTACCCACCATGCAAAACACAATTTATTTGAACACAGTGGGAATTTTGCCACTAGCTCCACTGGAGCCAGGATTCCCCTTGCAGACTCTTTTTAATCCCACTTGTGACGGCAGTAAATCAAAACAAGGGAGAGCAGAGATGCTGACCAAGTGTTTCAGAGAAAACAGTGCCTATAAAAATCTTGGGTGCAAGGAAGAGTGAGCAAAGCAAAGTCTGGAGTGAATGTCAAGTGTAAAATGACAGGGTAGGTCCACTAACCAGCCACTCAAAGGGTGCCTTCTCTTCCAAAGGCTGGATGAGAACACAGAGCTTAACTGATAAGCAATAATATTTAGAAAACACTGGGCATGAAACCAGTAGTTTTCCTGGATGCTGGCTGACTTCCTGATGCACATCCAGGCAAGTTTGTTTGGTTAAATAGAGGTTAAATGTCGCAGATGCCCTGTTCCTCCTGGACTGTCAGCTCATTTTCATTTGGCACAGCAATGCTTCACAAGCACATGAGTTGTTCCACCTAAAAATTCTATTCATTTTAGCACTCACTCACATCAATTTTTCTATATATCAGCCCAAGCTACACATGCAATTTTGGGTGCCATGTGCACTCAGAAAGAACACATATCAACTCCCATCACCCAATATTACGTAGCCTGACTTCTATGTATACTGTGCCTTAAAAGGTGTATATATATAAATATACATATATATATATATACACACATATATAGTGCCTGTGAAACTAGGGAGACTGGCACTTGTACTAAGTGATTTTCCTGCCAATGGGCCCATTGTTGCTGATTACAAAGATGAGAGAAGTGCAAAATCAAAAGAGTTACCAGCCTGTCACAGGACTAACTTATGGCTGAACTGGAACAAATATCACTCACACCTCCAGTGACTTAAGTTTATCCTCCCCTCCCTGTGATCTGTAGTAGCCAAGACCACCTGAAGACTGAATACAATGATCGCAGAATCACAGAATTATTTAGGTTGGGAAAGACCTTTAAGACCTCTAAGATCATCAAATCCAACTGTTAACCCAACGTTGCCAAGTCCACCACGAAACCATGTCCATAAATACCACATCTACATGACATACGAACAGTTCCAGTGTAGGGTATGGGGTAGGAAGGATAAAGCAAATACTTGCTGGAATACCAGGAGAAAAGCATGGTTGAAAGATGATTTGAAGGCACTTATAGTCAGGGGTAAACTTACCAAACATTGCAAAAACTATAAACTGTCCTTTATCACACTTATGATCACTAATAACAGTAACTGGAATCAGGGGGTGGACATACATAATTTTTATCTGTGTTTTTAATTTAGTTGAATTTTTGACACTGAAAAGCTGTAAAAGCAGACCCTTCCAAAACCTGCAATAAAGGTATGGTACCACAGCACTCTCATCCCAGATCACAGAGCAGTAAAGCAAATATTACACATAAAGCAATTTTTATGTAAAATGTATAATTTGGGCATAACATAGCAAAATGGACTGTGAGGTTGACTCAGAAAATACTATAAATAATAGCCCCAGATATCAAAAACCCTCCAATGACATTCTACTGAGTAAGCCTTAGGAGGCAACACTGGCTTTCAAGACCATTTTCCTTTTGGTATCTCTCATTAGAGAGCAGCTCCAAAGACACTGCTCTGGAAGGCTGCATGTTGCGTGTCAGACCACACTGAAAATCTGTCCAGCTCTCTGTTAATCTGAAAGTGGGATGTCTCCTAAGAAGCAGGAAAAATCTGCATATGTAACTGTAGAATCACAGAATGGTTTGGGTTGTAAGGGGCCTTACAAATCATCCAGTTCCAACCCCCTTCCATGGAGTCTACACCTAGAACAGGTTGCTCCAAGCCCCATCCAACCTGTCCAAGAGACAGACACAACAGTATTGGTCATTCTTTGAAGTGTAGAGAGAGCTCCCCAAAATCCAGAGGTAGATGTACAGAATGAAAATTAAGGAAAAAAAATCTTTGCTACAAACCGATAATTCCTCCTTGATTTGCATCTGCACAATTCACCTGTATGACCTATTTCAATGTGGTCAAAACGGGATCCTTATAAATGGTAACAGGAGACTATCACATTCACAATAAGCACCCATGGGCACAAGGGAGTCATTATCAGAGAGCTACTGCTAAACCTTCACTTACTCAACACTTTCCTAAAATGGCATTTTATATTTGTAATTATTTTAATGTGCACAGGCTATGAATGTGCTGACTCACAGCAAATTTATTTCAATATACAGGATGGCAGAGAGCAAAGGGGAAAGCATGTATGAATATCCAGCAGCTGTGATAAGGCTATTCCTTCAGCCCCACTGAGTATATCGACTCTGTTGCTACTGTGTGAATGAATATTTCATTTCAGCAGCACATGCCCATCTCCTGTCTATTTCCCATCAGAGGACAGTTGGCTGCACAGAGCAATCCTAGATTCTCAAGGCTTCCTTCTCTTCCCTGCACGTGAGAGCAGTGACTACACATCAGCACATGTTGCTTTCTGGAGTAAGCAATGACTGCCAACCAGGGACAGGCTCACTGTCAACCCTGCTCCCAGCATCAGCCAATCATCAGTGTATGGCAGCACTCATCTCCCAGAATTTATGACTGTAGATCATAGAATCACAGAATCACAGAATGGTTTGGGTTGGAGGGAACTTGAAAAGATCACCTAGTTCCAACCCCCTGCCATGGGCAGGGACACTTCCACTAGACCCATTTGCTCAAAATCCCATCCAGCCTGGCCTTGAACACTTCCAGACATACACTGCCCTCCTCCCAGTGCCTAGAGTTGGTCAGTCCCTGAAGGCAGAAAGAGAAAACCTACACAAACTTGTATCTCAGCCATTCCTTATTTTCCTTGCTCACATGCACACGCACACGCATCAGGGATTCAGTCCTTCCCCAAAGCATCTCCTTTTAAAGGATGCAGCAGACAAGGTGCAGATGCATGTCTGACCACAAATCACAGCTGCTTGCTCCTGAAAGACCACCAACAAAAGGAAAAACCCATAAAGTTTCAATGCTTAGAGTAAATATATCGGCAGCTTAATCACCCTCTTGGGAGTAAAGATGCACTTTGTGCATTACTGTGCTCTGTGTGTGCTTAATAACAAGGGCCAGCAAGGGCTACAGAACAGTCCACTGCCTCCTGGCATGGTAACAGCAGAATTCAGCACAACCTAGCAAAAAAAAGTCTTTGAAGTATACTAGTTAACTTAAAAACCCATTCTTCATTGCATCATTAGCTAGAGCATATTATTACCAATACTAGCCAGGATAAATTTCAAAGTGCTTTGCCATGTTCTGGATAAGTTGCTGCTTTCATTTTTTAAAGCCTGTTCTAATACTTCAGTTTCTGCAGGACAATGCCTGTCTTAGACCAATCCTTTTTCCAAAACCTCCCTGTTCTTCCCAGCAGATTATAAAATTGCAAGTGCATCAAGTGTCAGCAGACAGACAGTGGGCATACCTGCAAGTGCTACTCTTCTGCATGACGTCAGCTCGATGGTATCCAGAGAGTTTACAAAAACCGTCATTACTATAAACTACGGGCCAGTCCACAATCTGGGCGTTTCCCAACAAAAAACTGGATTCTGAAAAGAGAAGAAGAGAGACAGGGCTGTTGTCAGTGGCAAAGTACAATTAAATCCTCCATGTGTTACACAGCAATCGCTCGTGGTGGTAACTTCTATCGTGACATTTCAGAGGGAACTGAAATCAAAATGGGCATCAGAAAAGAAATCATGATGAAACAGGATAACTCCTAGTAATGTAAGCAGCTTCTTACACCCCAAAATACTGATATAAGCACCAATGTTTTAACAATTTAGAAAGGATTCATTTATTCAAAACATCTGGTCAAGTTATCATGTTTGATTTTTATTTCATATGTATCTTGGAATCGACCCTAAATTAACTTGCAAACTGAGTGTTAAATGCTAAACTGTATGTGAGCCCAAAACTGATGACAACTCTCTCACTTGAGATAAGTAACTTTTTCCTCCTGACAGGTCCCAGTTGGTTTTGCAGAGCACAGGCAGCATTACTGGGATGAGGGACAGAGAGTGTCAGGAGCCGCTGGGGAAGATCAGGTTGCACCCGTCACATCTCATAGAAGACCACGTGCCACATCACATCTGGGAGTGTGGATATTAACTGTGATATGGAAATTTAGCATGATGAGTGCCAAAGGGACTTACACATTCAAATAATACAAAACAGGTACCTGAAGGGCCTATAAGAGAGATGGAAAGGGAATTTGTATAAGGGTATGTAGCAACAGGACAAGGGGTAATGGGTTCAAAATTACAGAAGGGCAAATTTAGATCAGATATTGGGAAGAAGCTTTTTACTGTGGGGGTGGTGAGGCACTGGCATAGGTTGCCCAGGGAAGCTGTGGATGCCCCATCCCTGCAAGTGTTCAAAGCCAGGTTGGAGAGGGTTTTGAGAAACCTGGTCTAGTGGAAGGTGTCCCTGCTCGTGGCAGGGGGGTTGGAACAAGATGGTCTTTAAGGTCCCTTCCAACCCAAACCGTTCTATAATTCTATGAATTTCAGTGGCAGTCTACTAAAAATGCAAATAGGTGGGTTTGGCACATCCTAGTAACAAGCATCCATTGCTGCAAATACAAAATATGGGCAGGGAGTATTTCTGGGAGGCTGAACTCGGGTTTAAATATCGCTTCAGTCATCTGTTCTTTCAGTCAGTGCCTACAGTTCATATGCATGGACTGGCACCAACACATCATGAGTTAGTCCTAAAATAGTTTTATTTTTCCATCCCTGCTTTTAGTAAGGCATTTCCAGAGAAGGAAATACCCATTTTACTTAAACACAATGTTGTGGGATTTTACGTTCATTGACACTGTAAACATTCCTAATTTTGTTTCAGAAATAATATTCTCCCTTCATAGAGGTTCTAAAATTGTGGTCTGTGGTAATCTTCAGTGTTTTCTTTGGTTTTACAGTTAGTTTCCAATTTTATTTTGACTGCAGCTATGGAACTAACTGGTGCTAAAAAGCTAACTAACTAACTAACAATGGTGCTAAAAAGTTATTAAAATATAACTATTAACAATCATTGCTGCATAGAAATTATAGGAAATGTTCCTTTCAGCAGTTCTTGTGGGGAAAAAAAACTAAGGATATTGTTACAAATTTTCCTCATAATAGCCATGAATGGTTATGACAACTACAGACATAATACTAAGGTGCATACATTCATTTTCACATAAAATGATATGGGGTTTGCATGAGCTACACACTACTGGAATGTACATTATGCAAACATTATTCTATTGAATTAGGAACGTGTACTAAAAAAAAAATGGTATTTCTTTTTCCTTTATAAGCATGAATTTAGAAAAAAATAATCTGGAGATTATTGGATTATGTATAGAAAAGCAGATTTAAAAATATTTAAAAGCCGACCAATAGGAGAAATAAAAGTTTAGATTTTGTGAAATCTAACACTTTTAAGCTCAAAGCATTTATTTGAATCCATCACAAATATTCTTAAGCCTAAATGTCAACTTTTAAAATTTGCTTTCCTACCCAAAGGGAGATGCCCTCGCTACAAGCAGCAGGAGACACAGAGAAAAGCCTGAGCATTACATAAAATCTCCCTGGTTTCCCACAGCCCTCTCTGCCTGGGGACTCAGCCCAGTTTTCCTCATCATGGCACAGACAGTAACACAGGGGACATTGTGGAACCCCTGGGAACCAAAGGGTTCACTGTAGCTCATCTCACTGTGTTATGTTTCCCCCAACACCCTGCCTCTTCTCCAATTTGGAAAAGTGGAGACACCACAAGCCCTCTAAACCTGCCAGGCTCTCCCCATAGTTGTCACCCTGACACCACCACATCCCAGCAGCTGGAGAGGATGGGAACACAAGCCATTCTTAATTTCCCATCCCACCAGGAAACAACCAAGATTACAAGCCCTCTGGTTAAATTCAGAAAGACTGTCTTTATAGAATTGTCTTTCTCCGAAATTCTGCTCACATATCTCGACAAAAAAGGGCACAACCTGGTGAGGAGAGGCTGCAATTCCAAATGCACTCATGGATGCTCTGCACATCTCTGAACTCCCCAGAGGACCACAGTCCAAAAGCAGATAACCCTGCTCCAAAGCCTCCCCACCCACAGACATAAACTCGATTGTGTATTCCCACCACGTCACTGTTTCAGGACACAGAGTACACAGCAGAAGATTCGTGTTGCAGCCAGCAGCTGATCAACAGCATTTAATGGTTGTCTTTTATGGACTTTATACTTCTTCACATCAGAGGGTCTCAAAATACTTGATAAGGCACTCAACAAACTGATAAGTCCACAAGAAACTTGGGAGGGAACAAAATATAAAGCCAAACTATTGATAGATGAGTGGGTTTTTTTTTTTAAATCCCATAAAAATTAGAAGGAAAAAAAAAGACACTAGAAGTATCTTGGTTGACACTAGTATTTGTTATATTAGATCAGATACATAGTATATGTACTATAAAATTGACTAGATATTAGAATATGTTTTTCTTTTGTCCTCATGAATTTTCTTTTACTTAGCTGACTTCTTTTTACCCTTGTTTCCTAAACAAGTAAGGCTTATTCATCCATGCTCCTCATGTGACTATGAATCATGGAAAAATTTAGGCTGGAAAAGACCTGTAAGATGATGGGAGTCCAACTGCAAGCCCAGCACTGCCAGATCCACTATCAATATGTGTGTGTGTGTGTGTCTGTGTGTGTGTCCCCTATTCTAACGGAAGGAAAATCTTGAATCAATGTTTACCTCTTGTTAAAGACCAGTGAATTTAACTGTGGGCACAAAGCCACAGGAATCAACATTCCATTAATGTTTCTGCTCACTGAGCAGCTTGATAAAATTCAAAGAAGAAGGGTCAGCATGTGACCCTCGGGTTTTATTGTGTACCCAAGTCTCAGCATCCACAGGACTCCCTATATTTAACCTACCTTATATTTTATCAGGAGTCATGTTACTTTCTCCAACTAAGACACAATTAATTCTTTCCTATTTCCCCAGTTTCTCCAGATCAAAACTCCAGACAGATTTAACTCTACATTATCCAGTCCATACTCAGCTGCAAACATCCAAACCGTGTACTAGATTACAAGACACTTCAAAAGACCCTCTCTTTTTTGGCCATAATTTCTTAAAATCACATCACCACCACTAACCACTCATCGAAAGTCCACTTCTGCAGTTACCTCCCCTGAGATGAATCCACAGCCAGTCCTGGACTACTAAATTCACCTGCTTGTCTGACTTTTGTTTCTCTACAGCTCAGATACATGGTTTCCTCGCTAAGAAAGGTCAATCACAGTTGTGTCTTTGGTTACAATTTCCATTAGGCTTTAGCAAATTCCACTCTGTTCCATTTCCACCTGGTTGCTTGAACAAGGCATAAGAGACCAGGGTAGGAAAAGCCGAATTTCCTCTACATCTCCAGTTGCCACAAGGCAGTCAAAACCAGAGGTGTTCAGACTCCCTGGTAGAGGCAAGCTCTCCTTGCCTGCTCAAGTCTTCAACAGATAAAACTGGTGTTTTATGCCTCCTACAGAAGAAAAAGAAAAGGAACCAACAGAAGGTCTGCAAATGGCAGAGTGATGAGCATAGCAAGGACACCAGCACTGGGATCTCCCCAGCTCTATTCCTGTCGGATTCAATACACAAGAGCTATATTCTGCAAAGTAAGTTTTTTTAAAAGATATGTTATATAGGAGGTATTTCAAATGACAAGTATTTCTTAACAGAGTTGAGCTACTAATAACTGGACAACACCAAATTCATCCATTACACCCACACTGGAACAAATGGATTTAAGTAAACCACAACTTCACTGAAAGAACAGTATCATAGGAGGGACTGCTAAGGACAGCCACAGTTACAGATGGTAATGCATAAATACAGCTTGTATTCTGCCATAAAGCACTAGTAACTAGTGCAGTATCTGTGCTATGGCCCAGAAAGGAAAATCTTCTCTTTCCATGTACAGCAGCTCCCAATCTCACCAGTATTTTACTATGGAGGTTGGGAATTTCCCCACTGGTCAGCTGAACACGGGCCACTGCTGAAAGCAGGACAGTAAATCTGACAGACAGTGGTCAGCTCCAGCTCATGAAACTCTACGCAACTGGGATCCAGATGACCATGGGGTAGTGTCACATACTCTGAAAACATTAACATGCAGCCAACTTCAAAACCTGCATGATGATTAGTCTGAAATCTCTGGTAATGTATTCATCCTTGCTTGGATTTCTCCAATGCACTGAAAATGCATTTCCACTTCTCATTTCCTTAGAGATAAAAAGTCAATTTTTATTATTTCTAAGCTTGTCTTGATGTCATTGCCTCCACCAATCATTTTATTCACCCATCCCCCTTTCTGATATATTGCAGAGAGCCCAAATCACAAATCTGTAGGTTGTATAAGCTCTTTGACTAGATACCTCTAAACACCAGTGTCTGTCTGTAAGAGCAGGGAAGCAGGGCTCTACCAGCAGATTCATCTGTCTCAGAGTTGCAAGATTCCTCTTAAGAAGGCAGCAGGCTTTTTATTAGCTATTATAATTCTCCTATTTACAAGGTTTAATACTGATGGCAAAGAATCAGGGTATTAGAGGTATACAGTTAGCAAAATTTCAGGTTGGTAAACACAATTGAGGAAAACAATTTTTAAAGGCACTGTATTTGCTGTCGCCACACTTCTATTTTGTATAGAGACTCTTTTGTATACAGGCAGCCAATGCTGTAGAGCAGCAAGCCTTTAATCTTACTCTATCTTGAAGTAGCTAACACCCAACACAGCACTGAGCCTTGTTTTGTTATTAAAATAAAATAAAAACACCACAGTGTGCAAGCAAATTTTTTAACTAACAAAATGCCCAAAGCAGTGTAAAATTCATGTTATGTAATGACAGGAGAGCAAGAACAGCTAAATCATTCCCAGAGATATGCTTAGCCAAGTGAGAAATGTTGTCTCTAATCATCTTTTCTCAAGAATGCTTGGATACCACTTGTAACCAAAATTGTTTAAATCACCATTTCAGAATTCCATCTCATCTGGAGAAAATAGGCAACTGATCATTTTAGAAAACTCGCAACTGAAAAGATGTTCTAAAAAAATGAAGTAGTAGAAGAACAAAAGTAATAATAATGATTATAATAACAAAAAGAAGCAGTATTTCCATCTAGGAACAAACTCCTAACTCTAGCAAATTTACACAGAGCTGTCCTTCAGAACTATCACCCTTCCACTGCAGAGCAAATGCAGACTAGACCAGACAGAGTCTTTGAAACGTCTGGAATTTGCCTTTTTTGCTAATGTTGTCTTATAAAAGCCCCAAACCACTTAAACTGCTGTCAGCTGATTCTCCTTATAACTACACAGGGTCAGCACATTGCTGCAGACTTGTTTAGAGCAACCTGGAAAACTAGTGGTGATCCCCTGCGTGTGTGTGTGCCAGGGAGGAGTATCCTAAAAAAAGTTCTCCTTTTTAATTTTCTTTTAGCTTTCCTGAGCAAGCCTTGGCCCTGACAATGCATATTTCTACTGGAGTTGTTTGTGGTGACTCCAACCACATGCTCCAGATGTACTGCATCCCCACGGAATACAGCAAAAATCCTAAGCCCTTTCAGAGGGCACAGCCCTCTAAGATTTGCCTCAACGGGCACCAGCATCCCTCCAGCTCCGGGGTCTCCTGCAGACAAACTTCTGTTCTTGAAGCAACAACCTCCACCAGCACTTTGTACTCCTTACTATGAAACCACAGTGCTGTTTTCTAACAAAGCTATTATTTCCCCA